AACCATGGTGTCGTAACAGATACAGCTCTCACTATATAGCTCATAAGATCTTAGTATCATTCTTTTTTTGGATAAAATAGAGGTAAATAATAGCAGTAATACAAGCCGTCGTTTATGTTGATGTGTTTCCGAATACTTAGAGCTCTAACGTTGTTTAAAAGCTGTAATGGCTTTATAGGCGTGTGCTAAAGTGTAGACACTTTCAGACCCATATTCCTGAGCCCCTCTCAAGTAATTCGGGAAAAAGCCGAGACCGGTGGCCGAATTCTGAAACGATATCGATGGACAAGGTGGATATTCGGGAACGATGTTTTGCTTCCAGCATATCGCACAGTTACGCCGAACAACCAAGCAGAACCTCCTCCAAGGTTGATAATTTTGAGTAAAATGATTTTTGATGGCTGCAGAAATATGATCACACTTTTTCATTCATCTTTTTGCAGGTACGAACACCCGAACAGGAGGTATGCCGATAACAGGATTAGCACAACCAAGTATAGTATACTTACTTTTTTGCCAAGGAATTTGCTAGAACAGGTATGATATGTATATAGACAAACGCGTTTCGCGTCGCTCCCCTAGTTTACTGCTTCTATCTGCTACTTTTTGTATTCATAAGGTATTTTTAAAACAAATTGACGTGATAGGATGTTGAAAGTATGAATTATAACAATTAATGGCAATATATAGTGTTTGACAATCTTTACTCTCTCAAAGATATCAGCTCTAGATCGCGCTTATGAAACCCGTATATAAGTAGAACCGCAGTAGAAAATACCTTAGAAACTGATTAATACCCTCTCCGATTCATTTTTAAATGATAATCCGCAGCATTAGAGACACCAAAGCCCCGAATTTTCATATGCAGCAATGGGACAACTTTCAAAATATCAGCTTCAGCTTCAGCTATAGCGAAGCGGTTTTCCAAAAATTCCTTGTTTAAACCAAACGTCCGCTTGCATACACCTTACTAAGATTTTTAGAGCCAACTTATTCTTTATGGTTAGAATTCGATGAGTGCCCTCTAATCTCAAGGCACTCTTTAGTGTTTTTGGAAAAGATCGTTGAGGTGTATACTTTTCGAATACATCATAATAATATCAATACAAAGAAATAATTTACGTACAATAACTGCGAAATGCTTCTTGCTTCTTTCAAACAGCAAACAGAGCTACATCACTAAATTTTAATTTTGCTTTTAAGAGAAGAGATATTCGGTAGTCATTATGAAAATAATGTATTGCTGATAAATAAAAATTGATTTCATTACTGGCTGAATTTGAGAAAAACCCTGCCACTACTGATACTGTAATAAGACTTTTGTCATTATATTGACCATTTACCTGCAAGCGTTAACATGTTTCCTACTTCGCAAAAGCTGCAACCGTGTGTACCTATGCATCCCTACAGAAATGCTGCGCAATTATGGAAGACAGATCTGGAAATAGAACTTGAAGCCGCTTAATGCAAAGAATATCCATGTTTGGGTGGTTGGGCCAATCTAATTACCTTCCCCTGTGGAAACAAGCACTGCGTTTTTTCGGGATTAAAACGATGCGTAAAGTTTGCTTAACAGCATGTTTTGAGAAGAGAGGCAGCTGTTTGTGTTACATAAAAATATGTTGATATTTTCAACAAATCATAAAGAATATCTCATCATGCAAGCAGCTTTCTGCATTACTTGATATTTTAATTTTGGTATCTCATCACGTTTGTATAAATTTGCATAAATGCACTAAAATTATCCTATAGTCCCGAAATCCTAACAAGAGATGAGTCGTGAATTTGACTGTTTTTATCGTTAGAGCAGAAACAGTCAACGCAAGATTCTCTAGCATAATACCTCGATTGGACGAGAACGACACACACAAGTATCTCTGCCAATCTCAAACCATCTTTCACGCAGAGTTCAATAGAAAAGAAGGTTGTCTCCATTTCCACAGCGCCGATTTTTCGAAATTTGTTGTAGAGACTATGCCAAAAATGCCGCTTAGATATCCATAATTCTCTATTAGAAATTTCGAA